AGCCACAGTCCCCTTGCCCCCCCCCCCGCTCACCCGGGAACGAGTCCTAGGGCCTGTCACATTCCTGTCCGCGATGGGCCTTTCTCCTAGTTAAAGATATTTGCAAATTTTCCCTGTATATCACATGCTTAAGATTAGAGAATAGACAGGCCAGGTTTCTACAGAAAGCGTGGTCATCATATTATGGGACATGAGAGTGCTGAAAGGGGAGAACACACTAGGTTTTAAGCACACTCTTTTCTATACAACTCACATTGGGCCTCTCAGTTTTACAGTTTGGTTATGAGGCTAAAATAGGATAACCTCCCATGTATGCTATACAGACCTGGATACAATAGCAGGCAGTATGATTGTGTCTAAATAACCATTTACGAGAAATGCCAGCAAAATCAATTCTGATTGGTATCACACACTTTTCAGTGCTAATGCAAAATACAGAGACCAGCTCAACCACACTGTGAACACAGGACAGTGGTGGTCCTTCCCAAGACCATGCTGCTTATTTTTGTTGCGAGAAATCTCACAACATTGATTTGGACCATGGTAATTCTAAATCACTGGTCAGTTTCCTAGGAGCGGTGGCACAGGGGATTTCCCCCTGCTTAACTATAATATCTGAACTGCCAAGCTTTGTCAGTTCTAGCCCCGTGCTGGTGTGAGCAGCCAAGCCTTGTCCTAGCTCATCGTCTACCCAGCGATTCGAAAGCTTCGGCAAGTAGATAAATTGGGGACCACCCGTAAGGGGGTGGGCACACCACTCCCTTTGGGAAGGTGTTAGCTGCCGAGTGTGACTTCTGAGGCGCGGCAAGATCGAAAGATGAAAGAGCTGTTTCGGCTTCCCTGCAGTGGAGCGAGTCGGCCAGGCAGTGGCAGTGTGGCAGCACGACATCAAGAAGCCCTGACGTCATCAGCCAGCCGACAAGAATACATGCCGTCGGAACACGACTGATCCAGTCCGCAGATGAAGCCCCGGCTAGCTGCAATGTGTGTGTAATTAAAAATGCTGTATGTTGTCTTCCCTATCCCCCACGAATATTGTTAGACCAATTGTCAAAGAGTAACTGTACATCACTCTGAGCCCGCAGGTGTGTGGGAAAGAGCAATCAATAAATCGAAAGTATTATTATTATTATTATTTTTTTTTTTTAAGCTGCCTCTTGAAGTATTCCTGTAAAACTGCACATTAGAAGATGAGGTACTGCAGCATATTTCAAGGGAACACCACTTTTACATGCTGTAGATTAATCTTTGTACGAAAAGAAGCATACACCTACACAATTGATAAAACTCTATGTACTCTGTATGAGCAACTGAAGCATGTGTATGTACTTGCCAGTTTTTCTGCTTCTGTGTTCATTTCCCTGAGCTGCTTGATGTGTTCCTTCTTAATCATAAGGATTTTTGATAATCTGGTCTGCAGGGGAGGGGAAAAAAGAAAATAACCATTTTAATGTGTCTTCACTCTTCAGTGTACTACAGAAGTGGAAATCTATCAGGCTAATATTTTACTTAATAATTGGCTGCACAAAGACTGTAACAGGTTCTGTTTTTTTCAGTCAATGCTTTCAAAATAAATACCAGTGTACAAATTTTGACAAAGAAAGGCTGAAGAAGTGGGTACATGGGATTATCTTGGTATTATCATTCTTTCCCCCACAGTGCTTTCAGCCTGCTTGGTCATGCATTTAAGTCTCAGATCCTGCTGGATTTGAACAGTGGTCCATCTAGTTCAGCATCCCATCTCATACAGCAACCAACCAGTTGCCCTCAAGGGCCAAGGCCTTCCCTGATGCTGCCTCCTGGCACTGGGTTTCAGAGGTTTGCTGCCTCTATATATGGAGGTGCCCTTTACTCATCACAGCTAGTAGCCATGGATGGTGAGTAAAACATTTGAGCTGGAGTGTCCATGTCATTGGCCTGATCCTCAGAAGTCCCACACATGTGATTTCTCTCCCTCAAGCAAAAGTACACCAGTAGGACCTTCTTAGAAGTGAACGTTAGCAGAAACACCCCAGCTCGCACATCACTTCTCTCAACCTTTGTATGAGCCCAGGCTAGCATAAGTACCTTTTGTGGGCCTAAGAGATCTCTGCATCCCAGACATTATAATTAGTAATCAAAATTCACTACAGGATCTGGTTTTATTCTGAGCACTCATACAGATAGTCTTCTCAGGAACATCGATTAATTGTGCTTGATTGCCATCTAGACTACTATAGGTTAAGATTCTGTAATTTATAATTCTGTATAAATTTAAATAAATAAATAAAATAATTATGTTTTAATTGTCAAATTAGAGAGAAGAAGAAGAAGAAGAAAAAGAAGAAGAAGAAGACAGAAAGACAGATCGATAGAGTGACTAGGCCAATGGGGCCTTGTTCTGTGGTGATGCTAGGACTCCCTATACAAACATAATTTTAAAAGCAAAAACATGAGAAACCTGAAACCTGACAAAAAAGTGGAAGCTTAATGTTATCACAAATGTATGCTTCAGGTACTGCAAAAATGTATATTCTAATAATCACACTTATCATGGGAATTTGAGATACTTAATGCTAAAAGGGCAGAAAGGATCCTATACTTTTGCTCTCTGGGTTCTGTGGAAATGGTCCTCCACTGCAGGGCATGTTTATCTTGCACCAGGAAATTTAAGCATCCTTGAAAAAATTGGTCTAGTGCAAGCTGAAGTGCCTAGCAACACAGCAGATTTCAGCAGTTTTCATTTCAAATATGTTATTCTTGCACAAGTAAAATTTAACGAGATATTAAAATGAAGTGCTCTAATTATAATGTAATATTTATTATTTCAAAGAAAACTGATGTGCAATCCTATCCATATATACCCAGAAATAAGTTCCCCTGTTTAGCAGGGCTTACTTCCAGGACTGCATCCTTAGTGGGAAGAGGTTGGTAAAGATGAGAGAGCATCACTAGGAGGAAACCGAGTCAAAGTGCTGCATATCATTTCTGATGTTTGAAAATTGATTTATCTATTGATGAAGTTCAAAACCAATATAGTTAAAACTGATACAAAAGCAGTTGACACTCACCACTTGGATAAGGAATTCAACTGGAAAACCACCTAATGTCTCGCTATCTGAGCCTGAAATTTTGTTTTTCCAAGAAGACTGTCCTAATAAAGGGTCACTTTCCTATACAAGAAAGAAAGTTGCATTTAACAACTTATTCCTAAAAAAGATTTGATAAAGCTTTAAACTTGAGTTAACCACATTTCAGAAATTCATCAAATCGATATTTTCATTTTCTTCAGTCTGGAAAATTCTGGAAAATGACTACAAGAGACCAAATTTCCACTTTGTGTTACTTACTGTAATTGGTGACTGAAGGGAAGGTGTATAATGTAACCGAGGAGGAGTCATAAAGAATCTAGAAGGCCGCTGTTTTTGTCCAAAGGCAGCAATTGGCATGGTTTCATGAGGTTCATTACTCTTATATCACAAAGGAAAACAAGTTTCAGGATTATTTTAAGCACTAGAATTTTATTTTTACTTTTAATTGATGTCCCACCAAAAATATCCACTAATTTACACCATGAAGTGAGACTTCGCCACTTCCCCACTGCTCAAAATGTCCCCTCCCCCAGATGCTATTCCCCCCAACACGTTGGGGGCATGAGATTCCCCTTGGAACAAGATGAGGGGGGAATCAGCACCCCCCATATACAAAAACATGTAGAAATGATTGGTGGGATTCAACCCTAACTCTGGATTTCAGACAAAATATACAAAAGAAGTTATTTTGAGAAGATGTGTTAAATCTTATTAAGCTTATATTGTACTATGAACACTGTTTTAACATCCAATAAGAACCCCTCCCCAACAAAATAGAAGGTACAGTGTATTTTTTTCTTTCTGCTTGGAATCAGACTAAGGCTGCAATTCTATGTACACTTATTTCAGCATGAGCTCCACTGAATTCAGTGGGACTAATGTCTAAACAGACATGCCTAAAAATGAGAAGGATGTACTTATAGTTCCAGAGTGTCTAAAATAAAGGGAAACTCACTGATCTTCTAACAAAAGGATTAACATGTGTTCCTTTATTAGTCTCACTCACTGCATGATATGAAATATGGTGCTGATACACAAATCTTACCATTTTTGGCCTTCATTGTGGATGCAGAGTTTTTAAAAAATAAACATTATATATACTAAAGCCTTACATGTGGTGAGAGATCTGGAGGCAGTATACGTGTTACGTGGCTATGCTGGGATTTGAACTTCTCTAGTCAAACTTAACACCATTCAGTAGCTTTGAATAAGTATTTATTCTTATTAGCTCCAATCTCTTCTCTTCTTCTTCATTGTGGATGCAGAGTTTTTTAAAAATAAACATTATATATACTAAAGCCTTACATGTGGTGAGAGATTTGGAGGCAGTATACCTGTTACGTGGCTATGCTGGGATTTGAACGTCTCTAGTCAAACAACACTATTCAGTAGCTTTGAATAAGTATGTATTCTTATTAACAGACAATCAAGTAAATGCAATGAGGATTGGACAACTGCATGAGAGTGAAATTTTGACCACTAACTAAACAAGCAATTCTTAGTAAAGTTATTCAGAGTCTTTACAAGATATTCCTATTTTCCATATGTATGACTTGCATATGGAAAGATTCTCTGTGTCTTATAAATGGTACCATCTGTATTTTGTTCCTGAACTAGTGTGTACCTAACATTTAAAAAATGTAGAATGTATTATTTCCAGAGAAAAACAGTTGTGTGCTCCACCACTTTCTATAGATAATACTTACAAGGACTTCATAATCTGGGATTGTGTGCGTTCCAAGCCCTGACCTCTCAAAAGTTACTCTGTAAGTAGCATTAAGAGTGTCAACAGCATCTATTTGTCCAGTGAAGAGTCCATCATGGGCACCACGTAACCTTGCTAAAATCAATAATAAATATCACAATCTTAATTTTAGGAAAACAGATCTGGATGTCTTTGAGGGCTGGCTTTACATAGCTATCACATACATTGAGGTGATGTATACGGTGTACAAAAGAAATCAACATTCAACATCAAACTTTCAAATTGAAGACAAATCCTTGACTGGTGCAACTATGAGAATTAAACAATTCTGAATATTATATATTTTTTTCTTTTGCATAATTTATAGTACAATCCTAAACAGAGTTACAGCCTTCTAAACCCATTGACTTCAATGAATTTAGAAGGGTGCACCTCTTCTTAGGGGTTGAATTGTTAGTCTGCTGCTCTGAATCACAGAGAAGTGGCAAGTGCATATGTGCCTCTTTCTCTTTTCCAGGAAAGAGAACAACAACAAAAAAGGTTCTCTGGTAGCTTTAAAGAAAGGATAAGAAAATTTACAGCAGCACTGGGGGATGGGTAGAGCTACTTTTAAATACTTGGAGAAGGATTGGTCATTCCTGAGTGACCTTCTGCTCACTCCTGCCATCTTGCTCTATGGACAAACCACTACCAGCTATATTAAAACTATTCTTGCCTTTAAAGCCCTATATGGTCAGGGACCTACTTACCTAAGGGACCGCCTTTCCCCACATATTCCCCAGAGAGCACTAAGATCGGGGTCCCAACATCATTTGGCCCTTCTGGGTCCTAAAGAAGCCAGGCTAGCTGTAACGAGGGCCAGGGCCTTTTCTGTGGCGGCCCCGTACTGGTGGAATGAGCTCCCAGAGGACATCAGGGCCCTACGGGACCTTTTACAGTTCTGCAGGGCCTGTAAAACAGAGCTCTTCCACCAGGCTTTCGATTAGGGTGCCGCCGCTGATGCCATGGCCCTGGCCCCAATACCAATACTAATACCAACATCAGTGTTAAATCAACATCTAATAGCCTGGCAAGGACCTGGGCAATGGTGGTTGTTGCCATCTGGATGCCGGAAGAACGTTGCCATCATTTATTACCTGTACTACTAGCACTTTGAAATTATGATGGTTTAACTATTTTATCTTTTAAAATACTGTGTGTTTTATTGTACTACAAATATGTTGTAAGCCACCCTGAGCCCGCCTCGGCGGGAAGGGCGGGATAAAAAAAATCAAAGGAAATAAATAAATACATATACTACTTTAGTTATCTTCAAGTTAAGAACGTCAGAACTCAAGACCAACCAAAAATACTTAATTCCATTTACAGAGGAAAAAGGTACCTGTGACTTTTGTTCCTATAACTAGTGGCAGTGGGATTTCGTCAGGAAGATCTTTAAATTGGGATATGTCTGCTACCTTCCGTTGCTGCAGAAGTCTAATTTTCTGTCGTTTCTGTTTTAATGCAGATCTTTCCTCTTCAAAGAATGCAGAAGAACATCTGCAAATAAGCAAGCAGAATTTTTTCATTTGCATTTGTTATCATGTATCTAATTCTGAACCTGCCCAATGTACGAATAGACAAACCTAAAGAATGGGGTCAGGTACACAGAAAAAAACATTTGTCTACAAACCCACAGGAACCCCCAGGTTAGCAGAAACGTTTGAAGGAAAAGACCAAGATCTCTCAGTGCTATGTTGTGAGATACTGGCCAGTGTTTTGAGAGGGGAGGCGCACTCCCCTGTGAGTCTTGTGGATCTGCTGCTTGTTTATTCATATATCCCATAGTTTGTTCCCCCCAAATAAGACAGAGAACCTTAATACCATTTTTACATTTTAAAAAATTCAGTCAACTCATAACAGACTCCTGCATCACTTCATAAAATTGAAGTGTTTATGATCTGAAAACAAGTGCTTGTCTTTCCCTGTGTCTGAATGCTGACATAGAGAAAAGATGTTTGTCAGTATTTATATCCCACTTTCCATCAAAATTGTGAATAATTTTGAGAATCAAGAGTAAAAATATTCAATAAAAAGTAGATCCAGGTACCATTGCCTGGTTACTTCCAACCCTCCCAGTTTACAAATGCCAGTAGTGGAGAGTATAGCAGAACACATCCTGATAACAATATAAGGGATGGAACATATCTGTCCAGTTCTTTAGCACCTGCACTGGCTAGTTGTTAGCTTCTGTATCCAGTCCAAAACTGTTAATGCTTACCTACCCTCAATAGCTTGGGTTCTACATAGCTCATGAATCTCCTAGTGGCTCATGCATGCTTTAAAGGACAGCAGAAGGTGCTCTACTTAGTAACTTCTTAGATGTGAAACTGGCCACAGAACCCAGCAAGCATTTCTTTCTATTAACATTAACTATCTACAGGGCCCTGCATAAGCTCATGCCTATAAAACTGTAGACAAGTTTTTATTTGTCTGGTTTTGTTGTTGTTGTGGCATGATGTGGTCCATTGGATCACGAAGAGTCGGACTTGACTGTGTGACTGAACAACAACAACAAACCCAACCACTGTGGGCACCTTTCTGCCGCTGCAAAATGCTGTCAGTGGCATTCTGTGGCACCAACTGAGTAGGATGACCTATTGAGGGGTGGATGGTCCTGCTTTTTTGGGCAGGACACTTGCAGTAGAATGCTCTTTCAATCCTACTATTCTTAGATCTCAGTCTGGGCAGACTAAAGGTTTTATAACCCACAGTGCTAATCTGACAGCATATTCACAGTGCAGCTACCCTAAAAGAATCATTTGGACCATAGAAGGGATATAGGGACTTGCTTATAGTTAGTTGGTGAAAAACAGCTGCACAGTTTCGTTCTCAATTATAATGATATGCTGCATCCTGTGTTCTATAAACTAACCACAAGCTTTGATGAATGAAGCATTCACAAGAAAGCTTCATATAAAAGCTATCATTAACCACACACAAAAACCACTGCCTAAAAGTGCTTCACATGTCCAAAGATACTCTAATCTTTTTTTTTTTTACCTTCGTGGTTTCCCCATTAATCGTCTGATTTTTCCCCATTCTACTCTTGTTAATTTTCTAGTTTTCAGATTGGGAAACGATTCTTTCAGGCAAACACAGAAATCATTATCACCTTCAAACAGTGGCCTGTTAAAAAACAATTGTCATTCTGCTGTTATACATTCAAGTGCTTTCAGAAAATAAGAAGAAAATTTCATTTCCACATACACACTATAATTTGCTTTAGAATGAGAGATTTTTTTAAAAAATTACAGTTATTACACAGATTCATGGTCCAAAACCAACTACCCTTTCTTTATTATAACTAGAATAATAAAAAAGATACTTTGAAGTTGAAACAGTTTAGAAATTAGCAGCATATTACACTTCTAAAAGCAATATATTCCTACCGACTATGGGTAGTATGTGTACGTTCAAGCTACAATTCAATGCTAATGACACAATCCTATGCAACATTACTCGAGTCTAAACCACATGGACTTAGACTGCAGTAACTCTGCATAGGACTGCATTGTGACTTCAATAAAACCAGTTATAAGAACCATCATATTAATTATTAGAGATTATTCTCAGGCATACAACAATTGTCTCAGAAATGGAACCTGAAGCAAATGTGAAACAATTTCATCTTGCAATATGCTACAATTTATAGCTAAAACCAGGCCCAAAAGATTGTTTAGTGAATATATATTCAATGAACTGGAACAGAAACAGCAATTACTTGTCAGCTAGCTGCCATAGGAGACTGGGAGGCAGTTGGTTCCCCCCCCCCTCCCCTGGCATCTGCGCATGCCCTATCTTCCCTGTGTATGATCTTGTCTCATGCATTCCTGTCTGTAAACGCTAGGCAACGCTTATCTGCAAGGTTAACAGGTGTGTGGGGGAGCTGCTTTGCCAAATGTATAATGAACTGCACCGTGTGAAGCTGTAATTTTTTAGGTTTTAAGGAACGTTGCTTCTCAGGCTTTTGAGCTCGTAACCTGGAGTCTGCCCGCTCGGCGGGAATGGAGATTATTGGTTATTACCCTGTTTGAATGTCTTACATTATTCCTTGCCTACCCTGGCCCAGGCATTCTGGACAGTGAACTTGTTCCTGCTCTATCATAGCTTTAATAAAATACTACTTTGCCTAAACGTGTATTGGATTAATAGCTGTGGGGGACCGGACATTACTTTCTCATCCCAATTAAAATCTGTAACAGTGTGAACTATTTATAAAGATGAATGAACTACCTGTCAAATAAATAGCTGAAAAAAACATTAGATATTGATAAAACTGTTTTGCCCCATTTTCTTAGAAAAAATAACTTTCACTGTATAGACTATATCCATATAGTTACTGTATGAAAATGCACAAAGCTTAATTCCAACAAGCAGCTTTAAATTGTAAAATAAATGAAAGGCCTTATAATCATACATACTTATCTATATTTGAGTAGAACCATTCATATATACACCATTTGTGAGCTTTTGGAAGTTTGAGTAAATTACGCAGCCGCAAACCAATCTTCTGTGATGCTTTTTTGTCTGCGGTTGGCATTGTTGCAGTGAACTTCTAAACAATAAAAGAAAACAGAGGTTACTAACAGATGAACAATTCAAATGAAATCTTGCTACTTTATAAACTATGGTTTGAATCTCACCTAGAATTTCTACAGGTGCAAGGGCAAGCTGAATTCCTGCCAATTCCCTCCTTCTTTGACCCCCCTCCCCGGCTATTCCTGGGAGTCCCCTGTTGTCAGAAGCACATGGGGGGGGGCTTTATGGCTGCTGTAGGAAGGGGGAAAACCAATAAAAACTGGACACGGACCCTGCTCATGGAAATTCTAGGTGGGATCCAAGGCTTTTCTTTAAAAAAATAAATATTCTTTATTAGAGAAGATAAAAAAGCTTTAAAAATCAGATCTGACGAATTGATTTAGAAATATGGAATGAGCTTCAGTTTTTAAAAAGCAGCTTTGTTTAAAATACATCTTAATTTAATGCAAAAATACTAAAGGAAAACCTACAAATGACATCTTAGCATATAATCTATCTTCAATCAAACATATAACTAGGCCGTGACCTGGATTGCCCAGCAAGCCCGAGCTTGTCAGATTTTGGAAGCTAAGCAGGGCCGACCCCGGTAAGTTCCTGGATGGGAGACCTCCAAAGAATACCATGTCGGCATGTTCATAAGGAATGCCTAAGCAAGACTGCAGCCTGTTAGACAGATCATGGTGATCTGAATGACAGTCAGAGGTCACATGACTGGACATGTTGCATCAGCCTGCAGGAGGTGCTTCAGTGACTCAGCATCTCTGTGCTAATTGGATATCCATGTGTATATAAGTCTGTAATATATATGCTACTGTATGCCAGTATGGTATCAGGTTGCTTGGCGAAGCACTTTGTCAGTGGAATCTGTGAATGCTTTGCCGGAAGGACTGTGTATATATTGTAAATAAATGTGTAAATAGCACTAACTTAAGCTCGTGTGTGCAAGTTCTATTTCACTCTGCAACGCTCACTGGAACAACAGGAGATATATCACCAGCCATCACTGCCCACAATACCGTCAGGGTTATGGGCCCAGAGGCAGGCTATCAAGTCACATCTCTGAACGTCCTCCATGCCCCAGTAGGGGTCATCAGAGGTTGCCATGACTTCCAGGCATGGGCACACAAACACAAAAATACCAAAACAAAAACTTAACCAGTATAACTACCCCATAAGCACATCACTCACTGGATGGAAAAAACCAGGTTTCTTACCTGTAACTGATGATCTTCGAGTGGTCATCTGTGCATTCACACCTCTGGGTTATAGTGCGCCTGCGCTGACTTCAATTGGTTCCTCTAGAAAGTGAAGGGGATTTTCGCGCCCACTCCCCCATCTAGCTGAGGTAAAGGCTACTAGGAAGGCAGTCTTCCACGAGAGAAGCTGCAGACTAGACGTGGCCATGGGCTCAAACGATTTGCCTGTTAATCTGGACAGTACTAGAGGTAAATCCCAGGAGGAAGTTGGCCCATGAGCCGGAGGAAACAGGCAAGTGAGGCCCTTCAAAAACTGCCTCATTTGCGAGTGAGAAAAAATGGAATAGCCGTCCACCGCAGCCGACGTGACTCCTAAATTTTGTGACGTCTTTATGCTTTTGTCTACATCTTGCAGGACCGTATCAGTCGTGACACTGAAAAGGGCCTCATCTTCGAATGGAAGGTCCTCAATGAGCGCCCTGGTGTCCTGCGGTAGGGCAGTAGAACGCAACCAGGCGTGACATCAGAGGGTAACAGCTGAAGTCAGTGTTTTGGCGTCCGCATCCAATGTGTGCTTAGCTGCACCTCCCAGCTCAGCTCAGCCCAGCCCAGCTGTGCCCCACCAGCCCCCAGCCGAGCCAGGGAGCAGGAAGCACGGAGGCGCTGGCTGGCGGGCCGTCCTCCTTCCCTCCCCCCCAGCTCAGCTCAACAGCGCCGCTGTGAGGCACCTGACTGCTTCTAAGGCCCCTCGAAAGCGCTGAAGCAGTAGCAGCCATGCCACACCAGCTCCCTGCCTCTCTCGGCAAACTCTTCTAGCGTGATTAAAGAAGAAGGAAGAAAGGCGCCTCAGGAAGAGACCGAGCCCACGAAGGCATATTGACGCGGGCTAGCACGCGAACGAATGCACAGAAAAACAGCCCGTGTTTGCATTCAGTCACACCCCATAAACACAGGCAAGAACTTTTGCAAACTTCAAAAGGCGCGGCGCGGGGGGGAGGCCCTCCAACAAGACCGAGCCGCCTGGCTGGCAGGCCCCGGTTTAAGCGCGGCTCTTCTCCCCCCTCCCGCGCCCCCCCCCCGCACCATTTCAAGGCTGCTCCTCACTTAGTAGGACGGGCCCTTGCCGCCCGCCGTCCAAGGCGCCCCCTTGACCAAGGGCTGGCTGCGGGGGGGATGGATTGTTGAAGCGTCCTTCCTTAGTGGAGCCCCAAGGACTTAGTGGGCGATACCAGAAAGCGGGCCCCGAGTCTGCCATGTCCTTGGCCGGCCAACCCCCTCTCTCTCCCGGCCCGGCCGCCCTGCCGTATCCCCTGCAAGCCGACCTGAGTCTCCCGGAGAGGAGCGGGCTCTACACAAGGGACAGGTGGGGATAAAAACAGGAGACGCCACCGCCAAAGGCGTCAAAGACACCCAACACAGAAACGCGGGTGAGAAAGGCCCGGGCCGGGAGGCCGGAGAAGCCGGGCTGCGCGGACAGGCCTCTGGTTCCCCCCAGGGGCTGTTTCCCTGCCGGTCTTCTTCAGCCGCAGCAGGAGGGACGGGAAGAAGAAGGTCTTTCTGTGCGCAACAGAGGGAGGGAGGGGGGGTCCCTTTTGCGGTAAACGTGTTCCCCCTCGCCACCGCCGCCGGATCGCCAGGGCCCCGCGCGGGTCTAATAGCTGCTGCTGGATCCCAGACTTCCGAAGAAGGGGGCCTCCACTGCGCACACACAGGAACTCCTGTACCCAGAATTAAACTGTGTTGGCCTTAAAGGTGCCCCTGGACTTGGACTGCATTCTCGGAAGCAACCAGGCGCCGGCTTCGTGGCGGGGAGTTCCACGGGAGCGGCCTTTGCCGGCAGCCTTTTGAGCCCGGGAATCATCTAGGCCGTAGGGCGTCTCCTGGCTGGGGGGGGCATTCCCGCGGGCTCCTCCTTCCCAGCAAGCCCCTTATTCAGACAAACGCGCACAGGATCGCGGCTGCGAGAGCGTGTGGGGGGGGTCTCCTTCAGAGCTTCTCCCACTGCCCGGCGCTCCCCTCGGCTGCAGGTGATGACGAGAGGCTGCGGGGATTCCCACGGCTGCACGCGGGATTTCCTGTTGGGGCGCTGATTGTGCCGGCGGCCTCGCGGATAGGCTCCCTGCCTACCTGCCTCGCCGGGCCGGACAATGCTCCCCTCGGCCCCCTTTCCCTCCCCCTTCTTGCCCTGGCCTGGCTGCGGCGGAGAGGCTGCCGGTGGCCGCCCCTGCCTCCTCTCATGCCCTCACGGCCTGCTCGCGCTCTAGGCGAAGGCCTAGTTCGCCTAGCGGGCGAGCGAGCCGGCCCTGAGCGCGGTGGTCAGAAGAGAACTGGCAGGATTGTCATGCCCCTCCTTTGGTCGTGCACAGCGGGGCCGGCGCGTGACTGGGGAGCGGGCACGAAAATCCCTTTCACTTTCAAGAGGAACCTATCAAGGTTGGCGCAGGTGCACTATATCTTAGAGGTGTGATGCACAGAGACCACGAAGAAGATCTGGAAGCACAAATCAAAAGTGCTTTTAAATGTACTTTTAGAATGCAGACTGTGGATGCAGGTAGTCTTTACTTGGAATGTGCTTTTTATTTTAACAATTTTGGTCCAACTACGAATAAATTGGGCTGTGGTGGCTCAAGTGGTTAAGACACTGAATTGCAGACCAGAAGGTCGGTAGTTCAGCAGTTCGAGAACCAAGTGCTGCATGACGGAGTGAGCTCCCGTCTCTGGTCCCAGATTCTGCCAACCTAGCAGTTCGAAAGCAAGAAAGTGCAAGTACATACATAGGTACCACTTTGGTGAGAAGGTAACAGCGTTCCATGCGCCATGGCGTTTAGTCATGCTGGCCACATGACCATGGAAACGTCTTTGGACAGCACTGGCTCTTCAGCTTGGAAACGGAGATGAGCACCGCATCCCTAGAGTCGGTTTGACTTGCTTTCGAGCAAGGGAACCTTTTACCTTTATCTTACAAACTACCTGTGTGTAATTTTATAAACATATAGGCTTGATATTGGGGTTGAGAACTATCAAGTAATCAGAGGTAGTGACAGTTCCCTACTGCTATAACTGCATCAAACTTAAAATTAGGATTTCTCTCCCTTATTAAAGCCCAGGAAAATCAAAGACTCCATTTTGTTTCCTATTATTGTTTGTCTCCTAAATCTGGAGCTGGATTTGCTCCCCCACCCCCATTTGTGCTCAGTAATCAGAACCTGACATGTTTTGCTCAGCTGTTTCAGCTCCACTGGTGCACTCATTTCTACTTTGCATAGAAGAATGCAAACTAGTGAAGAATGAACAGATCCAGTTTCTTGACTGGTTTTGTGCCTTAGCCTCGTGAAGGGATATATTAGCAGCAATAAGAAGATCCCTCACTTCAATAGACTCAGAAGGCTTAGCTCTGTATAGGACAGCACTTAATTAGAGCTGTTGGTTTGTTAGGGTTAGAGTTTTATAGCTACTGATTTTAACATTATGCCAACCTATCTTAGAATACTGTCTAGATTCAAATATTTCTGAATGTTGTTGCTGTTGTTAGCCATTCAGTCGTGTCTGACTCTTCATGAATCTATGGGCCAGCTCTCTCCATGTTTTCCAGTCTTGTACTGTTTCTTTGAGTTGTTCCGTGCTCAGGCTGGTGCCGACTTTTATGGTGTCTGAATATTACTAACTGTTAATTTTTCAATTTGGATTAAGTGTAATAATGCAATTGAAAAATTGAGTGTTTTTTTCCTGTTCATTTCATGAGTGGTTTTTCGTTATTTCTTGACAAGTATTAAGTTTTAGCCTAGCTATGGGAAAATGTAAACAAATTTTATATATAAGCATACCTGTGGAACCATCGCAACCCTCTGATTTCTTTTAGGTGATCTTGTACTTATTTGTCTTTCTTCTTCCTCACAAAAGGAACGGCTTCGTTTTGAACTTCTGAAGGGCTGGAATAAACAAATAAAAATCAAGATAACTGACTTGTTTCAATATAACAAACCCCTGATAAACAAGCACAGTGCTTCCTTTCCTACTATATGCTTTGATTCACGTAAAACGATTAAGGCCCAGAACCCATTAGTTTCCCTCTTACCTTTAACAAGTAATTTTACTTTCAGTTGAAAGTAACACATCTTCATGCAATGTTGTTGGCTCCTTTGTGTAAGCCTCTGTTAGTACTGATATTATATTTTATGATTTTGCAATGGGATAGGTATTGGTTTAATCCATCCCAAATCTTTATCTTTTAGTGTTTTAGGGGTAAGGAAAGTTACCCCTAAGTTTTTAAGGCCGAATAAATATTAGTGGATATACCTTTAATTCAGAATAGAGCTTTGTAAATAAAAGGAGAGACCGACATACAGGTGTGGCTGCAAACATTTTAGCCCAGCGCAACTGAATGCAGGAAGCCTGTACAAAAGTTGAATTAAGACTTAGACCTTATGGTCAGATTTGAAAATTGTTGAGCTTTTGGGGTAACTCTTTTTCTCCTGCTTTTTGAATTATAAATGGAGCATTTTTGTATACTCACATGTAGAATAAATTGGCAGCTCCTGTACCTGAGGAGACGGTCCATAACAGTGGGAACCTGTCTAGAAGCCAAATGGAATATACCAGAATCATTGGGATAAATAGTTAGATGAGCTTCAGGGGTAAGTTTATAACATACCCGGGTCTCTCTTTTCAAATTTAGAAAATCATTTAAAAATATATGTTTATAAAAAGATGTGACTTTATGCACAGCACCTGACAGATTACGACCTGATGAAGCTGAGGGAAATGAACACCAACCGGGGTCCGTTGTCGCAGGACTGTATATTAATGTGTTGCGTTAATATGAATGTATTATTGTCCACAAACTAAATAATTTTTGTACGCCTTGTATAAACTATTTTATTGGGAGAGTAATTTTTACTCCAGAGTTATACACAGTGTAACAGTCTATGAGCTGGGTTTTTTTTGGCTACAATCTCCAGGTGAGGGCTGAAGATCACTCAGAATTAAAACTGCTCTCCAAACAGTAGAGATCAGGGGCAGATAGCAGTAGGTTGATGGTTGGCTGGGAAGGAGATAAGGTTGCCAACTCCAGGTTGGAAAATTCCTGGAGATTTGAGGGGTGGAACCTGGAGAGGGTGGGGTTTGTGGAGGGGTGGGACCTCAGACAGGTACAATGCTACAGACTCCATGCTCCAAACCAGCCATTTCCTTCTCGTGGATCATTTTTGCCAATCTCCAGGTGAGGGCTGGAGATCACTCAGAATTACAAGTGCTCTCCAGATGGCAGAGATCAGTTCCCCTGGAGAAAATGGTGGGCTCTGTGTCATTACGCCCTGCTGAGTTGCCCCCCCCAAAAAAACAACAACAACAGCCATTGTGATGTAGCAGTTAGTGCTTCAGAACAGTGTCTTCCAGACCCAGGATCTTCCTGTGGAAGCTGATTGAGCTGCTTTGGTCACCACTGTGGAGAAAGACTGTACTTTTCCTAGGTAGAGGCTACAGGGAGGGGGAAGAGATGGAAACCTGAAGTCAGATGGGCAGATAATGGTATGTTGATGGTTGGCTGGGAAGGAAATAGAGTTGCCATCTCTGGACTGGGGAATTCCTGGAGATTTGAGGGGTGGACCCTGGAGATGGTGGGGTTTGAGGAGGAGTGGAACCTCAGACAGGTACAATGCCATAGACTCCACCCTCCAAACCAGCCATTTCCTCCTGGGGAATCACTGCTGCCATTCTCCAGGTGAGAGCTGGAGATCACTGAGAATTAAAACTGCTCTCCAGACGGCAGAGATCAGTTCCCCTGGAGAAAATCGCTGCTTTGCAGGGTGGACTCTGAATCATTATACCCTGCTGAGGACACTTCCCCTCCTGCTCGGGACCCCACTGAGGAGGAGAAAGACTGTACTTTTTCTAGGTAGAGGCTCCAGGTGTGTGTGTGGGGGAAATGGAAAGCTGAAGAGGGATAGATAATGGTATGTTGATGGCTGGCTGAGAAGGAGATAGAGTTGCTACCTCCAAGACAGGTAAAATGCCATAGACTTTAGACTCCAAACCAGCCATTTCCTCATGGGGAACCATTGTTGCCAATTGATGCTGAATGCCCAAGGCACCCACCCAGAGCCTCTTTCTAGAGCTCGTTGTATTTATTTCCACAACAGGCCTTATTTCTAGTAATGTAATAGAACACTAAGGCCACTCTCCCCAGCATCAGAAGTATATATATTTTTACAGTTTCTGCTTCTCCATGGAATATGTTGCTCAGAGGACAAAACAAAGCACTGGAGAAAATGTTCTTGAATAGGCCACAGACTACATTCAGAGATTCAGGGAAGTTGTATTAGGGGCCCACATCTTCTGAACTTCTTAATTTCTAAGAGGATCTCACAGCAGCTAAGACAAAATTCAGTAGAACAAATTACTCAATGCAGCAAAGTGGATCCAAAGACCATGTGAAAAGCTCTTCTTCATGAATTTCAGTATATTTAAAATGTACAACTTTAGAATCTTTCCCATGCTGTTAAAATTATTAATGTGGGGGATTCATTTAAGCTATATGTACCACTGAAAGTGGCTAACAATTGCTAAAATTGCTTACAGAAATCCTCCTGGCTATGGCCGTGCCCTGATCGTGACTAAAGAAGCTATGAAAGAAAAGACAGTGTGATAACAGTTCAAATGATAACCATCACATATGGTAATAAGCTTGGCAATTCTTTTTATACCCATATAATAGTGCAATCTCAAGCAGAATTACTCCTGTTTAAGCCTATTGACAGAATCACGGAGTTGGAAGGGACCTCCAAGGTCATCTAGTCCAACTCCCTGCACAATGTAGGAAATTCACAACTACCCCCCACCCCCAGTGACTCCTGCTCCATGCCCAGAAGATGGCAAAAAAAGCAACCCTCCAGGATCCCAAGTCAGACTAGTTAACTAAATTAATCTGAATGCCTGTCTTTAAAGGAGGAGAGTCCAAACCTGTTTCTAGCCCTTCTTTTCAAGGGACAGGGCAGCAAGTGCATCAGTTGCCTAGGAAAAAACAGCTCAGAGGACATTTAATTGCCTTCAGAAGCATTTAAATGCCTTTTAAGTCCCTTTCAACAGGGCAAGAAAGCTTAAAAGGGCACTCAAGAGTGGTACCTTTAATACATCTTCAAAACATCCCTTTCCGCTAGCCCAGTCCTGCTGTGTACCACCTAGGTCATGGTGAGTCTTTCAAAAGCATTCCTATGAGCCTTTGGGAAACATGTAAATTAGGGGAACGCAAAAGGCATTTAAATGTCCTCAGAGCTGTCTTCTCCCAGGTTCCATGATGTCCCCTCCCAAATTCCACAGTGGGAGGGAGAGGGAAGCCTGAGGGCAAACTGTGGCCCTCTCACCCTAGCTGCTACCAGCAGCAGGCAGCAGGGGTCTCCTCAAAAATAAGGGGGAATTTCAGACAGGCGATAGATTCCGGAAGGGAACCAGTTCTCAAACGGGTTCTGGTCTGTCATTTCAGACAGAACCCGTTTGAGAACCGGTTCCCTTCCAGAATCTATTTGCCATTTCATACACAAACGTTTCAGTCCCGTTTAGGAACTGGGACTGAAGCGTTTTACCTGTCATCCACTTCCAAGTGGTCTCCAGTGCCCTCTCCCGGTTCCGATACGCTTTTTTCCCGCCTTTTTTCGCCCGCGCGGGCGATCTCCGGCTGTTTTTTTAAAAAACGGTCGATTTATAGCGTTATAGCGCTATAACGGTATATCGGAATAGCATTATATCAATCCCATTGGAATGCATGGAGTGTTTTGTTATACTGCTATAGTGCTATAGCGCTATAAATCAAACTTTAAAAAAAAACAATCACCCACGCGGGAGGAAAACGGCAGGAAAACAAAACGGTGCAAGTCTGAAATGCCAAACCGCTTCTGATCCGGCTCATTTCAGGTAGGGGCAAGCCCTGTGTGAAATGGCAGCCCTGTACCGGTTCACTTCAAAACGGATGATTGCCGGCTTGAAACCGTGTGAAACTGGGTAATGTGAAATTCCCCAAGGTTTCTGGCATGGCTTTTAATTAAAAGGGTGGGGCCCTAAACTGCCCCACTGTAGCTATGTGCCTGTCCTGGGTGCTGTCAGGCCAACCACGTGCCTTCTAGATCTGTGTCCCTCATGGCTGGTGAAAGCGGGTTATGAGAGGATACAGGGCCTGCTGATAGACACTGTCAATCTGTCCCTGGAAAAACAGGTCTATCCAGAGGGTCTCAAGCAGGCCATGGTTGTACGCTCTTGCTCTGGATGCTTCAGATCCTGCCAATTACCGCCCAGTTTGAATTTATTATTTCTGGTCAAGGTAACTGACATAGCAGTAGCCAAGCAGCTCCAGAGTTTCCTGAATGATGCATCAAGCAATTGGGTGCATTCCAGTCCAGCTTCTGCCCCAGCCACAGGATGGAGACAGTGCTGGTTGCCCTGACAGACAACCTCCATAGACAGCTGGATTGTGACGGGTCGGTGCTGCTGTTGTTAGATCTCACAGCAGCATTCGACACGGTTGACTATGATCTTTTGACCCACTGCCTCACTGATGTGGGAATTTGTGGGGTGGCCCTCCAATGATTTGCCTCATTTCTCCATGGTTGTCGACAGAGGGTGGCACAGGGAGGCAACATGTCCTCTAGGCATCCCTTAATATGTGGGGTCCTTCAGAGGGCACCTCTCTCCCCGATGTTGTTTAACATCTATATGTGTCCCTCTGCTCAGCTGGCTTGGCGTTTCAGGCTTGGGTGTTGTCAGTATTGCCATGAGTCTGGGGCCACGGTGGGGTGGTTAAAAAAGAGCAGACTGAGACTGAATCCTACTAAGATGGAGGTTCTGTGGGGGGGGGGCTTCACAGCTAGGGCAGATTTCCTGCTCTTGATGGGGCACCATTGACACTGGCACAGTGCATCAAGAGTTTGGGCGTGATCTTGGATGCCTCCCTGACTATGGAGGCCCAAGTCACACATATTGCTAGGCTGGCGTTTTTCATCTCAGCCAGGTCCAGCAACTGACCTATTTCTTGTCATGCCCTGACTTACCCACAGTAATCCACGCAATGGTCACCTCCAGGCTAGACTACTGCGAGTTGCTCTATGCTGGCTCATCCTTGAGGCTGATCTGGAAGCTTCAGCCAGAATGCGGCGGTGTGGGTCTTGATGGGAACGTCATGGATGACACACATACAACCTGTGTGGTGCCAGCTGCACTGGCTTTCAGTAGAATTCTGAGCCAAGTTCAAGGCTTTGGTGTTGACCTTTAAGGCCAATGTTGACCTTCAGGGACCAATGTATCTGCACGACCAAAGCCTCTGGTATGTCCCTGTGAGAGCGTTACGCTCTTTGGATAGCCATCTACTGGTGGTCCCTGGCCCCAAAGATGTCCGGCTGTTTGCGACCAGGGCCAGGGCTTTCTCAGTTCTGGCCCCAACTTGGTGGAATTCTTTGCCGAACACCACTAGGGCATTGCAGGATCTTAGGCAATTCTGCAGGGCCTGTAAGGTGAAGATGTTCCGCTAGGCTTTTGTTTAAGGACAGCAAGTTTCCACTCTAGCTGGCACCCTTTTATGCTCTCCAGATCATTTTTCATTTTGTCCCCCCTCCTCCTCTGCCCATGAGGTGGCTGGGCAGTCCAGAAAAGGGGGGGGGGGATTTTTTAGTTTGCCATCTGAAGTTTCAATTTACCTACTGATATTAATGTATTTTATTTTTTTATAGTGATGTTTTTATTCATTGTTATACATTGCCCAGAGCCCTACGGTAGCAGGGATGGACGATTTAGAAATCATCATCATCATCGTTCTATATGAGCTTTTATAATGAAATAACTGAGGGGGAATATATGCTTTTAAAAATAATTCCAGAGTTGTAGCAGTGGAAAAAAAGCACAGATAGTATATCTGAGGGCAAAGAATAAGAGGACCTTTCACCCTACTGCTATGCATGTTTACTGAGTATTAGTGAGTTCAGTGGGGTTTACTCTGAAGAAAGCACACATAGGATTGCAGTCTTAGCTTTGATGACAATGTTAGAACTATAGAAATAACTCTGAAAATGCAACTGCAGTATAAGCTCAGAATCTCAACATGTAAAAAGGCCAAATGAAAGCTAATATGGGTTTAGGGAGCCACCAGTATAGGTCAATGTTATCCCTCACCATTTCTACTGCAGCTCCCGCATTCTTGCCTTTCCAAATGGGTGTTTTCTGCAGAGAAGTGAACTTTTCATTCCATGTGTTGGATAAACTTCCCTCTGTTATGAACAAATCACACATCATAAATACAATTGTTTCCACATATGTGAAATAAGCAGAATAACGATCATTCTAAAATCCATTACAAAATAGAAAGTAAGATTTCACAATATTAATACTATATTTTTGTCTGCCACAGTCACATGGAAAACAGGGAATGGGGGTATGTTTAATTTTCACAGCAAAATGGCTCATGGGTAAGGGAAACTAAACCTTCTCTGTACCTATCACTCACATACCTATAGCTCCCCCCCCTTCCCTGAAGTACTATTTTCCTAGCAGAATTTGCAGCTGATATCAGAGGTCGGATAATAAAAACAAGGACCTGAGAGATGAGCCTTGGATGTGGGGTGGGGGTGATTTAGTAACTTTCATTTGCACTTTATTTTGCCTTAAAAATCTGTTTTCTGATTTTTCATATCTCTATTTCTGTATATGAAAACTGTATGTAATCAACAAGTCTAAGAAACACAAGCGTGTCTGTCTCATTGCAGGCATGTTGTGAAATAAGCATGCATAATTATTATGCATCATACACAAGTATGATGGCCACAAGACACAGGCTCCTTTTTTTCTTACTTCTGAATCTGTTGGTGCCTACTTCATCCACAGAAATTGTAATTCAGCTAACCTTACTTTCCCACTTATAGAACGAGCTGTCATTAAATTTCATTCACATTTGTGACTGTTTCTTTAATGACTGCTACAACCTAAGAAATAAACATGTCTTACCTTTCAAGCTCACTAGGGCTTTTGCTGATGAACCTGCAATTAGTAACATAAAGTCAGTACAAATTATAATGTCTCACAGTAGAATCATAGATTGCAATGTTGATGTCTCAGATAGCCAACTTAATTTTCTGCATTAGAACCAGTTAAAATATATCTATGATGATAGATAGATCGATCTGGGTAAGTGTCACCACACGTACTCCCTTTCAGGTATATGATACATGTGGACTCTTTAACATGAATTTGCGACACCTGTCCAGAACCAGTACCAGTTTGACGGAATTAAGCTCTTCCCACTTCCACAGCCTGGCTAGCTTGGACAACTGACACACTCACCAATTAAGGGGGAGCAGAACATGTGATTTAGGAATCTTTACCTGAATAGTGGGCAAGCAAAACTCTAAGTCCCTCTATGAGAGCCAGTTTGGTGTAGTGGTTAAGAGCACAGACTCTAATCTGGGAGAACCGGGTCTGATTCCCACTTCTCCACATGCAGCTGCTGGTGTGACCTTGAGTCAATCATAAGTTCTTTCAGAGCTGTTTTCTCAAGGGCAGTTTTCTAGAGAGCTCTCTCAGCCCCACCTATATCACAGGGTGTCTGTTATGGGGAGGCAGAGGGATTGTAAATCGCTCTGAGACTCCCTCTGGGTAGTGAAGGGCAGGGTATAAATCCAACCTCCTCCTCCTCCTCCTCTTCTTATAGTAACCATGAAACAACCAGATCTTTTTCAAAGCAAGGTCTAGAGTTTATTTAGGGGAATATAAGGGTACAGGAATCAAAAAGGTAATCAAGCATAAGAACAGTGAAATTGTTTTGTTCAGAAAGACACACATATGAAGAGTTGCATGAGAAGAGAGAAATTTAAAAGAAAGCCAAACCTCTGGCTGAGTGGGAATTCTGCACCAGAGAATGGTCACAAAGAGAAGTGTGTATGGGGAGAAGGTAGAATTTAAAGAAGGGGAAAGGAGAATTTTTAAGAGAAAGGTAGTGAACAGAGAAGGAGTTTACCTATCCTCAGTCTGCTGATCTGGGTAGAGTAATTTGGATAATCCAGAGATTCAGGGCAGAAGACTATAGACAGACTTCCCAAAGGTCCCAAGAAAATAGTAAGGAGGTTTGCTGGTTTCAGAAGAGGGGAATGGACAGCCTCTGAGCCAGCAGAGCAGTGAGACTGCATAATTTTGGCTGGCAGAACAGTGAAAGTTATAAGGACAGCCACAACATAATATCAGAGAATTGTAAAATCCAGGAATTCAGGGTGAGTCCAGAATGAGGATGTCCAAGTTTCCTGATTTGGACTGAGTTAGGAATGGGGGGTTTCCAGAAAGGTAACAAAAAGTTATTGCCTCTAGGCAAAGTGGACAAAAGAGCTGGCAGAGTGGAGGCTTCATCCATGCCTAAGTCAGGTTGGGAGGAGACATTCAGAAAAAGTCAGTCAAGCAATCAAACACACCTGGTTGCGCAACAGTAATTAGAGTTTGTACTTGAAAAGATTTGCCCTTGCTGATGAAATTACATTGATAGATCTAGGTGGGTGCCTGACCCCTGTGGTGATGTGGTCCAAGGAGAACCTTGGCTCATCTTCTCCAAAGCATGGCCCTGCTAGCTCCTAAAATGGCCACCAAATAAAATTTATGGAGTCAGAGCAGACAGCACAATCTGGGAAGAGGGTCCCAGATAAACACAGAACTAAATTTGTTTAACTATTATGGCTCCCAACCAAGAAGTTTCATTCCAGAAATCACGAATTCTATGAAGGAGCACTGTATTCTAAGAAAAAAAAACATTAGTGCCCTCACAAAGCCACACCTTCTCAGGGGATGCCACAACAGTGAAACAAGTATACGTATAACAAGAAAGGGAGCTGTATTAATTTATAGCAGCAAAAGCTATACGGAGTTCTGCTGCACCTAAAGACTGATAAATCAAGGCATATGATTTTGTGGGGTACAGTCCATCTTGTCAGATGTTATTTATTAGGAAGCAAACTTGAATTCAATAGAATATATTTTTGAGTAAGTATGCACAGAACAGGAGCTGCGGAGGCTCAAGTGGTTAAGACGCTGAACTGCAGGCTGGAAGGTCGGTAGTTCAGCAGTTTGAGACACGAGTGCTGTATGACGGAGTGAGCTCCCGTCTCTCATTCCAACTCCTGCCAACCTAGCAGTTCGAAAGCAAGAAATTGCAAGTAGATAAATAAGTACCGCTTTGGTGGGAAGGTAACAGTGTTCTGTGCGCCTCGGCGTTTAGAAACGCCGGCCACATGACCACAGAAATGTCTTTGGACAGCACTGGCTTTTCAGCTTGAAAATGGAGATGAGCACCGCAACCCTAGAGTCGGACTTGAATGGCTTTCGAGCAAGGGAAACCTTTACCTTTACCTATGCACAGAACAATGCAGCCAGTCTAGTTTTTTAGTATAGTCCAATTCAAAATTAAATAGCATCAGTGCAGTTAATGCCTGCAATATCCTTCAAGCCTCATAGGAGGCTTAGAAGCTTTCAGTAAAATGGAAGAACAGGATGATGCCCTTGCAAAATTTCTGTTTACAATGGGCTAAATATTTCTTTCAGCAAACATATAGCCAATGTGAGGTCACTAATACAGCTGTGCCAAACATGTTTCCAAAACCAAGCACAATCGTCCAGTTTTTAAAGCAGCGTTAGAGGACACCCCCCCACACACACAGTGATATCAGGTTTTGCATAGTGGAGGATGAAAGATGTAACCACTTTTCATCCACTGCTCCAACCCCAAAGTAAGTATTTAGGTGGTTATGTCTTCATCAGTCATCCCAGCTCTGGTATTGCACAACCAGCACCAATTCGGGCTGAGTAACAAACATTATACTATTAAGCCACCTTGGCAGCTCTTGTAAGGCCAGAAAGGTAGAGGATATAATTGCAAAGAAAATTGCAAAGAAAAAAATGTAGTGGAGACAAGACATTAGGCTGCTCTAATTTACAACAGAAGATGCACAATATACAAGTGAGAACTGGCAAAACTATGCTGTAACTTCTCTCCCCTCTCTAATTTTCCAAAGTCTTCTAGTCTATGGTAGCCAAAAGAAGACACTTTAAGAAGATGCTTTAAAAGCTTTACATCACTATTGATGTTCTCATAATGGATACATAAAGTAAGAAATTACTTACATTGACAAAAGAAAGAGATGAATCTGGTGATATTTCTAGAAGTTATGAATCTACTCTGATGACAAACATTGATTTGTGAATATATTCTTGGATTGTTGGTGCAGGTAAACTGGAGTTTAGTATATTCCTTTAGATGTGGAAGTGACTGGTAGATTTATAAGGAATATAAAGAGAAAACTACACTACTTCCCTGTGCTTACCTAAGCTTATTTGAATAGATTTTGTTATACTAGCATAGCTGCTTTAAGATGAAAAGAAACAGATTTCATACAAATTCTCTAACAACCCAAAATTGTGGCTCACCTACGCAAGACTCTATGTAGATAGGATCAGAGTAAGGGCTAGGGCAGGGCATTACAATGGTAAGAAGAGATCTAGCCTCAAAAATCAAATATAATTTTCAAGAATTTTTAATATGTTAACTTTGTTAGAACTACAAAAAAGTCAACTGAATCATCAATAGGTTTGATACCTTTACTAATTATAAAACCAAATTAGCATCTGACCAATTCTTTGGCAGAAGCGAAATGACAAGAAAGGGGTATTTCTTGGTTCCAGCAACAAGCAAGAGGAAATCACAGTTGTTTAGCCTAGGCAGTGACATTTACCACAGGTGATTGCTTGTGCTCCTGTTTCGAAGCCTGCAGTTATACAAGGTTGTTAGTAACTTTGCCGTACTGCTAACTTTTCTCCTGATGCCTGGGGCAAGAAGATCACACACACACACACACACACACACACACACACACACACACACACACACACACACAGAGAGAGAGAGAGTTTTACTAACACAGTACACCATACAGTAATATATCAATAAACTTCTACTTACATAATGGCATTCTTGACTTTGTGGACTACTTGATCATGGTCAACTGACAATACTTGAGAGGTCATCTTAAATGTGCCAACAGTGAAACACTATATTGCACAGAACAACAGCATACAGATTTGCTGCTCAAATTGCATAAAAATAGAACTAGCCACAGCCCAAGTCAAGTCCAAGAGAAAGAGAGCAACAGAGAGAAAAAAAGGCTCTTAGGGCTCACAACAACACAGTAGATTGCACTCTGCAATCCACCTGTGTGTCCTGATTCATGAGTTCAAAAAACACTGGCTTAGGAAAAGGCCATAATTAGTTTTCCCAGCTGTAAGTGGTGGTACAATAGTTCTTGTCTACAGAATCAACACATATAAGATCAGACTACTAGGTTATTTTCCTAGACTACTTTATAAAATTTAAATGGGAATTATTTCTAAGTAAAAAATTTTAGAGTCAGAATGCAAAAGTAGTAGACAAATATTTACCCAAAGAGAGCTGGAGGAAAACTTCAAAAACAGGATGCCGACATTTGATACAAAAATGTAGCACCACAGATAAATACTAGACAGGAGTATTGTATCGATTCTGTGCTTTAAAACTTACATATTCTGTAAGCACTACTTTGCATCCTACAAACTGAATAAATTAGGCTGCATGCATATTGGTTTATTTTACATAATTTATTTCACTTTTTGGTAGTCACAGGTGGAACAAGTGGAAATCCACAGGCTGGTCCAAACACTATAAAAACCTCCATGCAGAGTAGAATTTGAATGGAGATCTCTTTGATCCTAGTTTGACATACTAACCATACAATACTGGCTTTCTAGATTACCTGTGAGTTAAGATAAATTAGGGGGTTCTAGCAGGAGTTCTTTGAACTCCAGGGATGCTAGGAATTTTTCTTTAAAATGGTAATGTGCGATATAGACTAAATAGCTTCGTGATGGTATCTGTGTACTAAAAGTGTATTTGCTTGAAAGAAGGCAGCCAGGAAGATAAGACAGTCTTAGTGGTAACTTTCTAAGAATCAAAGAGCTCCCCAAAGATACTCTAAGAATTCAGAGGAAATGTTCATTTTCACAAGCAGCAGATAAGGAGATAAAGCTGTGTTTAGCCCTGCAGGTTGGGGTTGACAAGATGGAATGCTCACCAATGGGGGGGGGGGAAATGAAAAAATCTAGCACACTGTGGGAATAGGTAGGCTAGAACCATTTTCCCTAATCTTCTGAAAAAAGCATTTTCCATGGGTGACTCTTCTTTCTCACATGGATCAGGAGGAAAATTATCTTGAGGTCAGGCTAGCCAGTAATCTAGGCTGTGGGTACCTTGGATTAACTTCTAAATTTTGCTAAATAAATATTTACTGGGCAGTCTCCTTTGACATACAAAGCTACTGATGTCTAAGACACACATCTCCCCCTTCCTAAGATTCTCTCCTCTACAATTTTATTCTCACAACCACCCTGTGAGACATTAAAGAGAAAGTTCAACTAGTCCCAAGTCATTCTCAGTGCAATCCTATGCAAACATACTCCATTCTAGGACCACCGTGGGCTCTGACTGGAATAACTCTGCATAGAATCACACTATAAGCTTACTTCATGTGAATGAGAATTTGAATTTACGTCACCTCAATCCTAGACTCTACAACACAGTGGTCCTCATGCAAGTTAATATGTATATGCAACTCAGTCCAATCCTATGCAAACATACTCCATTCTAGGACCACCGTGGGCTCTGACTGGAATAACTGCATAGAATCACACTATAAGCTTACTTCATGCGAATGAGAATTTGAATTTAGGTCACCCCAATCCTAGACTCTACAACACAGTGGTCCTCATGCAAGTTAATATGTATATGCAACTATAAGAACATAAGAGAAGCCAAAGCTGGATCAGGCCAATGGCCCATCTAGTCCAACACTCTGTCACACAGCGGCCAAAAATACCAGGTGCCATCAGGAAGTCCAGCAGTGGGGCCAGGACACTAGAAGCTCTGCCACCGTTGCCCCCCCCCCCCAAGCACCAAGAATACAGAGCATCACTTGCCCCAAATCGAGAGTTCCTATCTATACCTTGTGGCTAATAGCCACTGATGGACCTCTGCTCCATATGTTTATCTAGTTCCCTCTTGAAGCCATCCATGCTTGTAGCTGCCATCACCTCCTGTGACAGTGAATTCCCTGTGTTAATCACTCTTTGGGTGAAAAAGTACTTCCTTTTATCCGTTCTAACCCGACTGCTCAGCAATTTCATTGAGTGCCCACAAGTTTTTGCTACCCTTCCAAAACAGTGCCTAGATAAACCATACAGGCAGCACCACTTTATAATGCAACTACTGTTTCTTCAGGTGCAACATACATGCCAATCCAAGCCACATAACAGGAAGCACATTCCTTTGTCTAAGTGAATATCCCCAAAACCATGTTCTGTCCTTTGATTCTGTACTCAGACATATTAATATTTATTAAAATACTTTACATATACATGAGAAAGTCAAAGGGGGAAAAGGAACTGTCTTTTGTAGCTCTTTAGCTACATGGGACCAGAGAGTTAGAAATAAAGATTTATTTATCCATATAAGAAAACTCTTTCTTAAGCAGCATTTTTTCTTTTGTTTTTACTACAGTAGGCAGGAAACAGAAGGCAAATGTCACGTCAACCCCCAGGAGCTGGATGCCCAAGACGGGACAGAGCTTATGCTGCACTGCCTGCAGTCTCTCTGCACTGGAAAGGTGCAATGTCAGTGCCACCCAGGGCCTTGAACAAAACACAAAGCTGCTCTGCCGGGCTTGAAAGGCGTGCCGCACTCCCAGCCCATCAGTGACATCGCCCGGCCTGCGCTAGGTCTGGGGGTACAGGCAGGGCGCGCCTCACCCCCGAGAGGAAAAGCGGCGGAGGTTACATAACAGCGGCTTCCGGCCCCGCTCTGCCGGTCTCCCCAAGGAGGGAGCTCAAGAGACCAGCTGTCGGGGAACGCACCGGAGAGCGGAGCTAGGCCGGGCTGGGGACTGAGGAAGGAGACTGTGGCTTCGGCCCCGCTCTGCTCCGGAGCCCATAACAACAGCCACAGCAGCAGGCTCCAGAGCAAGCAGCGAGCGCAACCGCAGCACTAGACCAAGAAAAGGGAGCAGCTTGAAGGTCCCGTACCCAGAGCCGCTCTCCTGGGCGCGGCAGTATAAGAAGGACTGGCAGCGGGGCACAGCCAAGGGGCACAGGTCGCTACTCACTCTCGTCAGGCAGCTGATCCAACTCCGCCATCTTGAAGGAGCCGCGCCGCTTTTTCAAAGGCTGCCTGCCGCGGTGCATTGTGGGCAGAGGAGACTCGGTCCTCCAGCCTGCCTGACTGGCGAACGGCGAGGCAAGTCGCGGAGGCTGCCTGAGCTTCGTCAACGCAGGGGCGGGAGTTTAGGAGGCTCGCGCGCTCCGCTGTGTTACCGGTGGGTGGGATTCGGAGGGCTCAGGTAGAGCTGGGGCTCGTTTCGCGGCAGGGGCCGGCGGGAGGGGACTGAGCAGAAGTGGCGGCGCGGCAGCACCTGGTGGGTGACTCCGTCAGGCAGCCTGCTTAATGCTGTCCCCTCTGGTTAAAAACAACAACAACACAAAAAACAAGAGACATGCAACGGTATCCCCCCCTTAAGAGACATGTAACGACGCCCACCCGCGAAACTTCTTTACTGCAGTCCCTCTTGGCAGATTTCGCTTCGCTCTCTCTCTCGCCCTTCCGCGCCTGATCTGAAATCTCTGTTTCTACAATCTTTAGGTATTTTCAAAAACAGATGATTTAATCTGCCACAACTACCTTGCCTCCATTAAAAAAATACATTTATTAAAAATTCCACCATATCTATACAACCATATCCTACAGAACTCAACCAAAGATAAAGTAGTTCTATTCATAGTCAAGTACAACACAGAGAAATCCAAAGTATATCCATTACTAAATAATTCCTTCAGTCTAAAAATTTAATAACTCCTTATAATGTATATTAGAGGAGACAATTTCCTTATCTTACAAAAATTTAACAATAGGAGACCAAATTGCTTGAAAATTTTTACAATAAACTTCAAAATTCTGACTACCTGTAGAATAATCTATTTTACCGAGCAAGTACCTTGCCTCTAAATATCCTAGACCCACATTTTGTGCCAGTGTGCAATAATGAGACCCACTTTTGTTTCCCCCACACACACCCATCTCTTTTTCCTTCCCTCTCTTTTCTACTTTGTCAGTCAGCAGCTCACAATAGCTATTCTGCTGTTAGGAGCCTTGATCTTAAGAACATAAGAGAAGCCAATGTTGGATCAGGCCAGTGGCCCATCCAGTCCAACACTCTGTCAACACAGTGGCCAAAAATACCAGGTGCCATCAGGAGGTCCAGCAGTGGGGCCAGGACACTAGAAGCCCTCCCACTGTTGCCCCCCCCCCCAAAGCACCAAGAATACAGAGCATCACTTGCCCCAGCCTGAGAGTTCCTATCTGTACCTTGTGGCTAATAGCCACTGATGGACTTCTGCACCATATCTATATATCTAATAGCGAAGGCATCCCCTGCGTGCAGATATCTAAATCCGCACATCAGGGGCACCTGGGGGCAGGGATATTTTCCTGCACACTTGGGGCAGTCCCCAAGTGTGCACAAAAATCTAAAAAGTTGAAAAAATATAGGGGGGATATTTAAATCCCCCCAAAAGTAAAATAGCCTTTGTTTGTTAACCATGCAGGCCTTTTTCTGTACCTATTTGTGCTTTTCCTAACCCACAGTATATATTTTTTCTGAGCTTCTAGGATTGTAGTTTTAAATAGTCTCCAAGCTTCCCTAATGGTTTTGACCCTTTCTACTTTTCCTTTCAGTTTCTTCCTCACATGTCCCCTCATATCAGAGAAGTTACCACTTTTAAAGTTAAAAGTGTTTGTGTCAGTCTTTTTGGCCAACTCCCTATTTATACAAATGTTGAACTCAATAACATTATGGTCACTGTTCCCCAGCAGTGCAATCACTTTTACATCTCTCACCAGGACTTGGGCGTTAGGTAGGACCAAATCCAGGATCGCCTCTCCCCTGGTAGGTTCTGTGACCATCTGTTCCATAGCACAGTCATTAAGAGTGTCTAGAAACTCAATCTCTTTTTCCCGATTTGAACACATATTGACCCAATCAATGTGT